TGGCTTTCAGCCCCTGCCCCATTCCCCATCCCGCTGCCGCGGCCAGCCGCCATCGGTCAGCGCGACCATGGAGCCCTGTTTGTCGCAGGGTAGGATGGTCTGTTTATATTGGTTAGCTTAGTAGTGATGATAGACAGCAAAGAGTCTAGTCGGAGTGATTCTGGGGAGGGTTTGGCCCGGCCCCCAACGCCTTCTAGCCCCAGAGCGGACTGGGTGACCGCAAGAGAGCCCTGCTGGCGAGGGAAGGAAGTGTCTGTAATTTGTCAGCGCCCACGGAGACCTGGATGCGCAAGTGCCTGACATCAAACTAGGCTGCTGTTAAGAAGTCTCTGGTATGAAAGCGTCTGGCTCGCTGGAGGAGTACAGTGCTCATACATACATAAAATTCATTTTTTTACAACGTTGTAATGATTGATTTGTAGCCCCTACATGTGGAGAAAGACCGCTGCAAAGACCTTGCATTCTCAGCCATTCAGTCGGCCCAGCTGATGATACTGGAGGGTATGACATTGCTGCTTCCCCACCCTTAAAAAAGAAAACAAGAAAGTGAGGTTTGGGAGGAAAGAATAGCTCAGATTGTAGGAGAGGAGACTTCCTTATTACTGGGTACCAAGAGGCAGAAAGAACTTAGGGACCAAGACATTGTGGTTGCTTTGACGGTTTTAGCTCAGAGTGATATCAATAACAGTTGTCAGTTTGTGAGCGCTACCATGGACCTAACTCTTTGTGTTTAATCATCACCATCCCCCTGTGAGACAGATACTATTTTCGCCATTTTACAGATGTGCAAACTGAGGTGCAGACAGATTAAATGATTTGTTTGAGGAGGCACAGCTTCTAAGTGCGGAGGCAGGATTTAGACATAGCTTTCTTGTCTGATTCAAATGCTTTACCTCCCCTTTCAATATTTACTATTTTTCCTCATTATGAAGGTAATAGGCTCATCATAGAAAATGTAAAAACTAAAGATAAGCCTAAAAAAGAAACATGTCAATCATCCACAGTCCCACTCCCTGGAAAAGCCTTGATAGCGTTACCTCATTCCAGTCTTTTCCTCTGCTTGTTCTTCTCTGGGAAGCAATTTTTGGTTGTGGAAGGAGGAAGGGGCTCTTAATGGAGGCTTTTGGGTTCCCCTGAAGAAGAGCGCCTTACCCCTAGCAGTATTTTATAAAGTAGAGAAAATACATGGATGGAAGGTTCTGCTAATGAGAGGGGGAGGGTAGGCAATATTGTTGTGGTGATAAGAATTATGGGGGAGGGAAAGCAGGCAAGCAGGTGGCATGGTGAGTGGAAAGAGGTGAGAGAGCAAAGAATCCAAGAGGCCACAATGGCCAGGGAGGGAATATAATTTGTCTCAGGTGGTCCCTGAGGGAGTAATTAGGGTAGACTTTTGGGTCCCTACCTGGAGGCCTCAGTCTGCCCTGATCATGCTCTTGAGTGCCCAGAAAGCCAGGCTGAGTGATTGCTGGACATGTTTAGAGTGTGTCTGTCCCCTAAAAGAAAAGGAGAGGTTGCCCACCAAACAGTGCTGAAGAAGCAAATACACAACCATCCCAGTTGTTCTAGCTGGGATGGGTGGGGACAGTGGGACAGTCCTAGAGCTGCTGGGAGGAGAAACCCTTCCCTCAGCTGGGCCCCCGTCACCGCCAGCTGAGGAGAGGTGGGCTGGGACTTGTTTCTTTGGTCGTTGTCCTCTTCTGAGGAGAAGCTTCATAGCTCCCTGAGAATATCTCAAGAAAGGCTCAGGCTCTGAGAATCAAAGAACTGAAAAGCTTTCCTTTGGTGAGGAATAAGATGCCGGGGAGAGAACACCAGACCAGGGAAAGAGAAAAAGTGTGGCAGGCCCTCTCGGACCCCGCTGGCCTCTCAATAACTCCTTTTAACTCAGTTATAGGCACACACTGAAGAACTTTGAAATATAGGAAATCAAGACAGCCTTTGGAAACATGACGGGGGAAGGCATGTGTAAACGTGTGCTTAGACCTCTGGGGGTTTAAATTTGTGCTCCTGCGGCAGAACCTGGCGGTGATCACTGAAGCCACTCTGATACCCATCCCACTTCTGTAAACTGGATGGGGAAATGAAGAGAGCTGAATGACCTGGACCATCTCACACCCAGGGAGCAAAACGCAGGGAAAGCTGTGGGAATCCTCAGGCCCCCCAAATGAACCCATATTCCTAGAAGCCAAAGGGTCAGACCAAAAGAGAAACGCCCTTCTGACTGCATAGTAACCATCCACACCCCAGCCCGCATTAATGCTGTGAAAACACGTGGGCTCAGGGGTGAGGCCCCCTGGGTGCCAGAGCCTTGCCTCTGAAGTCAGGCCTGCCAGTCAGTTCCCAGACCCTTTCTTACCCCAGCTGGGGCAGACGGTGGGAGAGACAGAAACTTGGGCCATGGGGGTGGGTCTGATTATTTTTTGGTTGGAGCATATAAAAAAATTTTTTTAAATGACTGCGTTTGGCCTGCAGAAACCGCTATTTCAAATCAACTCATTATTTAAAAGAGTACCTGCCATGTATTGAACAACTATATTTTCTGGCCCATTAATTGGGCCAGAAACATGATGCGCATTGTGTTCTTTATTCTTCCCCACAACCCACAGAGGTAGACATTATTATCCTGATGTCAGAAGGGGCCTTTGGAGCTGTAGGCGCCTCGGAGCACGGGGGAGAGGCAGCCACCTCCAGGAGTGCCTGCCTAGTTCACTTTGCTCTTCCAGCGCCCGCCCTCCACGGCTCCCCCAACTCTACTGATGGCACTGGGCCCTTGGCTCACTCAGGGCTATCTGGCTGTCTTGGATCCCATTCCACCGTGTACTTCTCTTTCCTGAGTGGGGATCACAACTGTGTCCTCTGAACCTGAACCTTCCTTTTCCCCTGCCACTGCCCAGGAGGGACACACACACACACAACCGTGGCAACACCTGGCTTTAGCCCATCTCCCCCACTTTCTCTGCACTTCCCACTCCTGCCTTTGTCAAGCCCCAAGGCTCTATCCCTACCCAACCCTCTCTCACCGCACAAGTACCCCCCTGCCCCGCCCCCAGGAGAGCGCCTGCTCCAAGCCGGATGAGGACATTCTAGACATCCCCCTGGACGATCCCGGTGCCAACGCTGCCGCAGCCAAAATCCAGGCGAGTTTCAGGGGCCACATGGCTCGGAAGAAGATCAAGAGCAGAGAGAGCGGCCGGAAGGGCCCAGGCCATGGAGGGCCTGGCGGAGCTGGGGGCACCCGAGGAAGCTCGGGCAGCGGCCCCAGCGGAGACTAAGCCAGGTGAGCGGGTCCTTTCCCAGCCCTAGAGTGGCCTAGAGTGCCCGCTCCTCCTCTAAAAGAGCGCGGAAGGCAGAAGGTGGGCTGGGGGAGGAGAGGGGGGTTGGGAAGGTAAGGGAGGGGGACTGGAAATCCGAGACAGGAAGTGGGGGGACAGCTTAGGGCACCGCGGATCTGAGAGCTCACCTCCTTCTCTCTCCACCCTCCCTGCCGTCCCTCTCCCAACGGACTGAAGAACTGAGCATTTTTTAAGGTAATGATATGACCTCGAGGTGGCGGGTTGGGTACCCTGAGTGGGAGGGAGGAAAGGACCCAGTCCTCACCCTTTCCGGGGAAAACGCACCCTGCGACTGCAAGGTTTCTGATACAGCAGGACGCCCGAGGCCGCCACGAAGGGGACACACCTGGACCGACACAGATGCAGTCACCCCATTTGGCCACATGAGCATGACCGGGGGCTATAGCGCCCTGGGTCACACAAACACACAGACCTACGGGCCACGGCTCAGTTCAGCTCAGAGGCTCGGGGTGGGGGTGGGGTCCAGAGTGCCCGGGGCCACCTGGGCTCCTGCCCTGGTGTCCGTGTCTAGGAAGGGTGGGGGGAGGGGAGGGAAGTGCCAGAGAGGGCAGGTGCTCAGACCTTCTCTGTCCGCAGTTCCTGAAGAGAGATGGATGCCGTGTCCCCTTCGCAGTGACGAGACTTCCCTGCAGTGTTTGTGACCCGCTCCTTCCCACCACTCTGCCCGCTTCAGGAGCCTCCCTCTGTCCCCAGAGACTCTGCCCCAGGCAGGCTCCGTCGAGAAGTCGCTCAATCTGTGCTCTTCCATTTGGTTCTCCATTCTAGAACGGTCCTGTTCGCCCTTCCCGATTCCCCACCCCAGCCCGACCTGGCACTCCCCAGGTGTCTTTGCTTCTCGCCCCCGTCTCCCCGCAGCAGCATGCAGCTTTGCCTCCGCAGCCTCCATGCGCTCCCCTAGGCGCACCGTAGAGGGCGCCCTGCCCTCTGCGTTGTCCCAGGACACCAACTTTTAAAAAGTTTTTTTGTTCAGTGCGCAGCTAAAGGGAACGATTTTCGTCTCCAAGCGGTTCTTCCCGTCACCCACCCAGCTCCACCACTTTGGATCTGGGGCGAGGCTGGAGGGGAAGAGAGTTTTTATGGTGTTGGATACCCCTTGCTCTGACGGGAAGGGAAGTCCCTCTTTCACACCCTGCCCCAAGCCTGCCTGTAAATCAGTCCTCCCCTCACCCTGCGCACCCCGACAGCCACCCTCTCGCCAGCTCTCTTTTGCTTTTATGGGCGCCGAGCACCGGGGTGGCTCGGTGGGAGGAATCTGTTGGGGCCCCGCCCCTGCCCTGCTGGCTCCGCCCCCAACGGGCTCCTGGGGCTGCGGCCAGAAGGTTATCTCTGTGTGTGTGCATGTGACGGTGCTGGGTTGGAATGTGAACAATAAACAGGAATGTCCAAGTATTCCAAGGGTGCCAGAGGGGAGGGTGCGTGAGTGCACAGGGCCAGTACTCAAAACTTGCACAAGTCTCCTTTGACCAAACCAAAAATTGGAGATGGGAGGAAGGAAGGGGCGAGGGACCTCGGTTAAAGCCTACTCTTTGGAGCCAACCAAACTTCCCGCCTACAGCATCACATCTGGGACTTGAAGCCCATTCCGTGAACCTGCTGGGGCGGGGGGGGGGCAGTTGCTGTATCAGCATGAAGAAGAGGGAGACAGCATGGTACCCAGAGGCTTTAATTGTAGGTATTCCCACTCAGTGAAGGGGAGGGCAATCAGACAGCCACGGGGAGCTGGGACTTAGTGGTCTTCATAGTGCTGGCAGAGAGGGGCTTCTCCAGGAGCCCACTGTTAGAATCTGCCCTCACAGGAGTTTGTTCAGAAATCCCCGGAGCGATGGCATCCTCTCTGGTGGATACAAACACGTTCTGACTGGAGGCGCCCCTCCCTCTCCCAAACCAGGGACTTTCACACTCACTCTACCCTACCTGCGGAACTGGTTGAAATGAAGATTCTAGGACCTACCACCCCTAACACACACGCATGCACACGCACGCACCCCCCACAGCTCCCACTTCCAGAGGGTTAGGAAGTGACCAGAATCTGAATGTTAACCAGCTCCTGGTAATTTCTGTCCAGGTAAACGGGAAAACCACACTTGGAGAAATACTGCTCTGGTCCCCATTTTGGACCCCACGGTTGACAGCAGGGTGGGTGACAGGCGGCTTTTCTCTCTCCTCTCCACGCTGCCCCGCACAGAATCACACTCAGCCAAGTGGTCAGGGCAAATCTCACCCCTGTCACCCACATCCTGTTGATATATATGCAAAGATCTTTAAAACGGAAAGATAACAATTCTTTTAAACATGAGGAGGGTGATGGTAGCTTATGAGCCAACCCTGCCACCTATACACTTTGCACACACACTCAATACATGGGCTGACCGCCACCTCCACCGCCAAATCCCAGGGCTGAGCGGCACCCCTTACCTTCAAACACCCCAAAGATGTCAGAGTTTGAAGGCTGACATCATCCAAGCCCCTTCCTCCCTCTCTGCACTACCCCCTCACCCTTCAGCTCACCGGAGGTCACTACCCCTGTATGTCTCCTTAGGCCTCTTCCTCCTCTCTTTCTGGAATCTTATTAGGCAGAACACAGCAATGGACAGGAACAGCACTCCCAGGAGCACCCCAATCACAGCCCCAGCCACGCGGCCTTGGGAAGGGTCTAAAGATACACAGAGTCCTCAGAGCTGCAGACCCTCCTGGGCCCCTCCTCAGACAATTCCATGCAGCCCGTGCCATCCAGGCCTGCCAGCCTGGCCAGTGCCCGCATTCCTACCAGTCACAGAGAAACTGAGTTCACAGGCTGCGCTGCCCATCTGGTTGGTGGCCACACAGCGGTAGGTGCCTGAGGAGGCCAGGGAGAGGTTGCTGAGAATGAGCTGGCCAGTCACCTCATCTGGAGGGTAGAGAGGAAGGTTCCTGCACTCATTCCGCCCACAGCGAGTGCCTGCTACAATGAAAGCGTGGTGCATTTCATCGCCATAACCATCCTGTCAGGAAGGGACTGACCTTCTTTTATTGGTGGGAACGCTGACTTGGAGAAGGGAAGTAATTGTCTGGGGTGCCCCAGAGAGGAAGTGCCAACGCGACTGCGAATCTGTGCTCTTTCCACCCCACACAGCTGCCTTTGCAGGGGAGGGGGAGGCTGCACAAACGTGGAGGGTTGGGAAACTGGCCGTGGAAATCGGGGTAAGGTGCTCCCAGGCTGATGTCAGATTCCTGGTTGGAGGGAAAGGCCTTCATCGCTAGAAACTGTATCCTCTGGAATAGCTATAAGCTGACCAAGTGCTTTTCTAAGCTGCTTATCTTCCCTTTGGAAGGCAGAGCACAGGCCAGGAGGGGACCGGGGGGCTCTCTGGATTGATAAGGGCCTGGCTGGGGCTGGAGCTGGGAAGAGAGATGGGGACTGGGGCCAGCATGAGGAGGCTGCGAAGCCAAGGCTCTCAGCCAGGTATATGATTCCTCCAGAGAAATCGCTAAGTGATCCAAGACAGTCCATGCTACTCTGCCTCCGTTTCCCTTCTAGGAAGTTTGAAAATGATTCATGACCCTTAAGCAGTCTAAAAGAAACCCTTCCAAAACAGACAAATGGGAATCACAGAGTGTCCCTGCCTTCCACTCTCACCCAGGACAATGGGAGTGCATTTAACTTGAGGGATGCTTCCAGGGTCATGCAGTCACGGACCATGCAGGGAGACAGGCGGGAGGGACCAACCCAGGGACCGAGGAAGATGCAGGAAAAAGGTATAGCGTTTTGTCTCCTACCCACAGGCACGGGTGTGTTGAGTTTAGAAACCTGATTGGCCCAGGTCCTGAGACCCCCTTCCCTGATGTCCTGCCTCTCACCTTGCACCACGCTGCCAGGAGAAGGTGTAGGAGAAGACCCGAGGCGGACCCAGTTGTACACTGGCCTGGGGGCTCCTTCGGAAGAGCTGCACCTCAGTATAGCAGATCCCCCCACAGAGATCTGACCGGTCTGACTGCACGAGGGGCTGCTGGGGGGCACTGCAAAAAACCGCAGAACCTCTGTGATCTTGTAACCCCTCCCCCATTAAGTGCTAGATTTCCTGAGTCAATACCCCCACCAAACAATTGTCCACTTTTGTCCACGTTCCACTGCATCTCCAGGAAAAGGTGTGCACGATTGAAGATTCAGACTTTTAGAACACGATTCTCATATTGAGCCCAATCTGTGTTACTATAATATCCACCCACTGGCCCAAACTCCTGCCCTCTGGGTCCACAGCAGAAGTGAAAACTTCATCTCCCACAGGGCAGCCCGTCAGATTTCTGAGGACAGCTGCCATTCACCAGCTCCTAAGTCTTTTCTTTCCCTCCAAACATCTCCAGCCTCTTTAGTACTTTCTTCTTTCTGCTCCTCCCAAGCAGGCTCTAGTTTGGGCTGAGATGGAAGCTCTGAACACAAAATTTGTGCTTAGTGTGGCAGGGGCCCTTGTTCCTTGAACAATCATTTGCCTTCTCTGAGACTGGCCTGGGGAGGGACAGAATCTGAGGTAGAAGTTTTCCCAAAGATGGAGCTGTGGGGGGCTCCTGACTCAGGCCCTATCTGTGGAACCTCTGTTTCGAGGGGCCTCGGGAGAGGTGCTCTGTGGAGGGCAGAGCAGGTATATGACTGGCTGGCTGGGTTAGAAGGCTTCAGGGAGCAGGTAGTTTCCCTTGAGGCCCCCAGTGCAGCTGTGTACTTGGGCTGACACCCAGGGTCTGTGGGCCCCCGGCCCGCCTTACCCAGCACAGTGAAGTTGATCAGCCCCATCCCATTGGTGTAGAAATCTGGAGGGTTGTTAACTTGGCAGAGGTAGGTTCCAGTATCTGAGGGGCTCACGTCAGTCAGTTTCAGGGTGGCCACTCCTCCCGTGGGGGGGTTCTGAAGCAGGCTGGCCCGCTTTGCTTTAGAACCGGTTGGATACAGATGTCCATTGGTGAAGTACAGGATCTAGGGAGAAGCAGAAGACTCACCTACGTGCCTTTCCTGCCTGGCATCATCTCTGTAGTCCTTTCTCAAAAGGCCCCTCCCTCACACCAGCCTGAGAAGCTGATACTCTGAAGCTAGAACCATGAAGTCCTATCTCCCCCAATGCCAGCCCTTCCCAAGTGCTAAATGAGCTACATATCCATTGCTTTCAGCTGTGTATGGCTCTCAGCTTGGGGAGAAATACAGATATTTCTGGAAGGAGCAGCATTTTATCGTACTTTCAGTCACCACAGCTGAGCGTCACTCAGTAGTGTTCATTAGCTGAAGCTGGGCCGGCTCCAACGGGGGGGCGGGGGGCTGCATATGGGAGCCCTGCCCCATGTGGGAGCTGGGGTCATGCAGTCGCGGTCCTCAGAAGGTGTAGAAAGTCCACTTTGTTTAAATTCTCATTTGAGGACATGCTCATTGATTTTTAGAGAGAGGGGAAGGAGAGAGAGAGATGGGGAGGGGGAGAGGGAGTGAGAGGGAGGGAAAGGAGGGAGGGAGGGGGAGAGAGAAGGAGGGGGGAGGGAGGGAGGGGGAGGGGGAGACAGAGATGTGAGAGAGAAACACTGATGGGCTGCCTCCTGTAACACCCTGACCCAGGTCAGGACCTGCAGCCTTGGTATGTGCCCTGACCGGAATCCAACGGGCGATCTTTCGGGGGCTGGGGACCACGCTCTGACTGAGCCACACCAGCCAGGGCAAGTCCACCTATTTTTTCCATCCGAGCATGCTGACCTCCCTGCCCTCATTCCCAGTGTGCGCCTGTTCCTCCCTCTCTGAATCTACAGGCCACAGGCCAGAGGCGCCCCCCCCCCCTGCCCCGCTCTCGCTCACGGGAAGGGACGCAGAGAAGGGCTTCCCAGGCTGCACAAAGCTCCACTCCAGGGCGAAGCTGTCTGTCACCGATGTGCGGTAGCTGCAGGTCAGCTCGGCAGTCTGGCCCGCAGGCGCGCTCAAGGGCTCTGCGGGCACCTGCACCTCCACCGCCGCGCCAGGGGCTGGGGGCGCACAGGAAGGGGTGCTCAGACAGCCAGGCAGGGGCCGAGGGGAGTGGGGTCGGGGGCCGGGCTCCGAACTCCCGACAGTGTGGAGCCCGGCCCACCCTTCTTCCAAAGACGACACGTCTTAGCAAAGAGACTAAGGGCTCCCCACACCCCTCCCTCCTCCAAAACCTGAAGTTCCAGGAGGGAGGAGCACACACCTGTGGACCGAGTTTCATGGGTAAAAGGACAAGACCGGTCTGGTATGAGGGTGCGTTTGTCGGGGAGAGGAAAAGAATGGTTCTGTGCTGGGCCGGCCCTTCCGGAGAGGCCCAGCGCGCCGGCGGCCTTGCGCGCTCCGTCCTGGCCCTACCAGCCTAGGGGTTCCCTCCCCGGCCTGGCGCAGCCCCCACCGCGGCCCCGGCCCTCTCCTCACCAGGCAGGCGGACCAAGCCTAGCAGCGCCCCGCACAGCACAGGGCCCAGGAGCCGGGCCATGGCCGATCCTCCCGTCTTGGGTCTGGTGTCCGGGTCCAGGAAGGGGCGGCGGCGCCCACAGGGCAGCCTCCTGGGGCTGGGCAGGGGTTGAAACTGGCTATCTCAGAGCAAACAAGGGGAGAGGCCCGTGCCCTGCGGTAAAGCAACGCCTCTCCCTTCTCCAGGCCCAGTTCTGGAACCATTGTAGCCCTAATCCTGCCCGCGATTTCTGAAGCTGTCAGGCCCTGGGGAGAGGACGGGGCTGGGACTGGGCACTTGAAGGGAAGGGGTCGGAACTGCAGCAAGAGAGCCCTGGAGGCAGAGGTCCGCGGTCTGACAACCTGAGCTGCCAAATGACATCACCACGGTGGGTCCTAACACTGAAGACCCTTTCTGACCCCTTCAGAGATTCTGGTTCCTGCCCCGCTCCTCCCGTTCTCCCTGAGATCCCGTCTCCAGCACTTTTATCACCACCGGCTGTGGTAAGAGTCTCCATGGAAACTACAGCCGCCTCCCCGCTCCCACAGTCACTGCTGTCTCCGGGCTAAAAGGCCGAGACTTGAAGGAGGTGTGTTTGTCTGGAAGAGGGGAACCTGGGTCAGGGTCCTCTTCTCTGCCCTTGAAGGGGAAGCAGGGATCAAACGTGCACACGAGCTCTGAATGCCCAGGCTGCGGCAGAAAGCGGCACCAATTTCATTCCCTGGCTGCTCGGAGCTGTTCGGTCTTCCAGCCTTCCGTTCTGAGTGTCTCCCAGGCCACCTGCCAGCAGTGACCCCTCTAAAGGCTCTAGAAGAGCTATCCTCAGCCAGGAAGGAGGGGGTAGGGGGGATGTTGTGTGGAGAAGCCATCCTGGGCACATGGCCTGGGTAGGGGGTCCCGTCTGCATCACCCTCAGCTTCTCCTGGGGATTACAACTTTGAAAAGGCGACTCACTTCCCATACAAACACAATGTATCTTTATTGAAATTTGTAAAATACAAACAAAAACACACATTTCAAAACACGCATTTCAAGTTAGTTTAACAAATATCTTCCCTACCCGCTGCGCCAACAAAACGTAACCAGGTCAGCAGGACAGGTGACTTGCATTGGGGAGCTGGATTGGGAGGATGGTGTTGGACGGTGAGGTCCAGATCCAGGGGGCGAAGGACTCACCGGCTGTCAGTGCCTCCTGGGCCTTGGGGGTGGAGGGCCGACCTCAGCAGCCTGCCTCTGCCCTGCCAGGCAGGCCCCAGGAGGGAGCTTAGGCTCTTCCTAAGCCCAGGGGCATTTCCTCTTCTCCTTCTACCTCCCAGAAGTTTGAGTCTTAACCATGACCCAGTTTTTCCAGAGTAAAGAAAGGTGGGGGCAGAGGACTGACCATCTAGAAGGCGGCCACCCCCCCCCCCCTCCTGAGACTCAGGCCTCCACGCCGGGGCGATCCCTACAGATTCCTCTAGGAAGGGAGAAAGTCAAGGGCTCTGCCAGCACATGGCTGGGCCATCACACCAGAGACCCAGCCTGGTTCTGGGCGGGCACCATCACGGGGACAGCGCCCTTGCGGCTCAGAGCAGAGGTAGGGACCCTACCGGGGCTGGGTGTGGGGGTCACTGAAGCCGGCCTGCGAGGGCCTTGGGGTGGTCTGAGGGCTGGCGATGAGGTGACAGAGGAAAGGGTGCCGTTTTTGGAGATGGTGTCTGAGCCCTTGGGCCAGGGCAGGGTCCGCGGAGCCACGGCATCCTCCCTGGTCATCAAAGAAGCAGCTCGATCAGAAATGGGCAGCGAGGGTTTCTGCCTGCCCCGTCCCCAGCTCCCCTCCCCCACTTCTGTCACCTCTCCCTTCAAGTCCACCCACAGGGATGACGGCCGCCCTTCCATTAGATGGGAGCCGTGGGCACTCGCAGCTCTCTAAGGGGAGCTGGGAGACTCCCCTGTGCGGGGACTGACACTTACTTGATGTCATTGGCTGGTTCCTCCAGGGCCGTCCCCTGGCGTCGGCACAAGAGGACCAGTGCGGCCAGCAGCCCCAGTCCAACCAGGGCGCCCACCACGGCTCCAGCAACCACCGCGGCCCCGGGCCCTGCGCAAACCTCATGTCAGAGGGGCATCCGGCTGTTCCCCACCGTCTCCAGTCCAGCCACCCCTCTGCCCCCGCACACATGTTCCCTTTTCTGTTAAGAAGAGGTGACTGTCAAGCAGGAAATGGTCAGTGATCACACATGTGTACAGCCCTTTGCCCAGGACAAGTTCCTTGCCCTCTTACAATGACAGACTTCACTAGACAGGCCTCCACCCCACGCTTGCAACCCCAACCTGACCCCTCTCCCCTGACCAGTCTTCTCCTTACCCCCACTTACCCCTCACTGACCTGTGATTACTTCCAGGGTCACATTGCACTGCGCACTGCCCACCCTGTTGTAGGCCCTGCAGGTATAGACTCCCGACACAGACACAGAAAGGTTTTTGAGTCTTAAAGACCCACGGACGGCATCTGTGGATACAATTTAGCCATCAGGCCAGGGACCCCACTTCCCAGTGGAAAAGAGAAAACCCCGCCCTTCCTCTGTAATATCCCCTTGGACTCTGGCAAACTCCGCTGCCTGTTCCCTGGTGGAGGGAGAGGCGTGGCGGTGGGGGGCACACTGGGCTCTGCTCCCTGCTGCAGTCACTGGCTCAATGTCCCTCTCCATCTCCACGGCTCGGTGTCCTCGACTGACTCTGAAAGGAGGCTAGAGAAGAAAGATGCCCAGAAAACCCAAAACATGGGTGAGAGGAAGAATATCAAGCTAGGAATAAGGAGGCCCGGGCTCCAAAACAGGCCATGTGACTTTAAGCAAGTTAGTTGGGTCCCAATTTCTTCATTTCTAAAATGGGGTAGTGTGGCCTTCTGGATAGTGTTGAAACAATTGTATGAAATAAGAATCATAACAGTTCAAAGTTTATTGGCTGCTTGTGGCACACCAGAGACTAAGTTCTTTACGTACACTAACTTATAAAAGTTTCAAAACAAACCTATGAGGGGGGCACTATGTAAAAAAAAATGTAAAAATTACTACAAAATTGACAAATGAAAAGTAGAAGTACCAGGTAGATTCAGTAATTGCTAACATTTTGCTTTACTTATTTCCTGTTTTTTTTTTCCCGGGATATTTACAAATAAATACTTCAGCATAAAACTCCCCAAATTAAGGACACTGCCCCCTATAGCCACCTTGGCCATACCTGATAATTACTACTTTTCTAAAAGCATCTAATACTCCATACTAAAAATGGTCCATCAGTCGTATCTCATTAAAATTGAAAAAAGTTCCAAGTGCCCCAACATGACTTTTATAGCTGGTGTGCTTTCAGATCAGAGCTACCGATACACTGTTTCAAAAATGAGGAAGAGAAGGTAGCAAGTCACAGCCAGTGAGTGGCACAGCTGGAGTGTGAGTGCGGGCGGGTGTTGAGCTTTGGAGCGTCTGCGGGACCAGGGCACACGGCATGTGAAGGCGCCCAACGCAGGCTTGCACCTGGTGGGCCCCCCTTCTCCCTCCCCCCACACCCCCTCCTGCTCCCCAGTGCTTTGCCTGCTTTGCAGCCCTGCCTTCCCTTTTCAGCCCAGGCCCTCCGGCACCTCGCCTCTTTCCCCTGCCCCAGCCACAGTCTCACCTGTCCCCACAAGTCCCTCACCTAAAGCTGGAGCATAGAACACCTGGGAAGATGGGGGTGGCCGCACCCACTGGTACAGGGCAGCAGGCTTACTCCTTGGGGACTGGCAGCTCAGGGTCACGTTGGTGCCCACACGGGGCACACCCAGGAGATGGCAGGATGGGGGAGCTGGAGGAACTGGGGGAGGGCAGATGAGGCAGGTTAAAAACTCACACCCAAGAGACCAGCAGACACCCCCTACACCAGCCTCTACACAAACACTTTTGTCACCCCATTGTCCCTCCTCCAACCTTTACACCCAGTCCTTTGCAGAGGGCCCCGCCTGGGCTCCCCGGGGCTGGGGAGCCACTGGGGAGTGAGTGCTCGCCACTCACCCCACACGTCCAGCTCTAGAGTCTTGCTGCTGTGGCTTCTGTTGTTGCCCTGACGGTCTTGCACAGTCACAGAGCAGAAGTAGGAGCCGGAGTCTTTCTCCCGGAGGCCCTGTAGCCGCAGGGACACGTTCCGGGAGGGCATGGGGTAGACCAGGGACACTCCACCTTCACTCGATGTGGCCCCACTGATGTGTGACAACACCTGGTGTGGGCGTGACACCTCCCGTTATTTCATGCCTGCGCTGTGCCACCGGCTCCGCCAGACCCCTCCCCCCTGACTGGCAGACCTCAGACGCCCCTCCCCCGCACCCACCTCCTCTAACCTGCAGGAGCTCCCTGGCCACCCGCCTGCCCGGCCCCCCTCTCACCCCCGGGTCCTCTCCACTGTAATGGTTCTTGGTCCCCTGTGCACTGTCTCTCCGTCTCCCCCGGGGGAGTTTGGAAAGGTGGCCACGTGGGCGAGAGATGATGTACATAGGAGTTATGTATGAAAGGAACTTAGATTGCAAGGGTGCATCCAAGATCTAAAGAGATCTTTCATTTTCTATATCTTGAAGGCGCCCCGTGCTCACACCAAACCTACGCAAGCTTGGGCCTTATGAACCCTGGATCTACCCCTGCAATCTGAGGTTTTTTGTACACACCCCTTATTTATTCATCAAACACCTCACAAAGACACTTTCTAGGGCTTTGAAAGGAGCCACGCAAGAAAGGGGCCCTGACAATTGTGTCTGTGGCTCCGGGTACACCCGCTTCTGACTGTCAGTGTGATGTCGGGAAAGGGGCCAGATGGGGGCTTGTGGGAGACTGCCCCTTGCCCCTCAAGGTGGGTACAGCGGCAGTGGCCTGTGACTGCCGGAGAATGTGAGAACAGGTTGACACCCAACTTGAAGACGGGTGTGACACCTGTCCTAACTCTCCCCACCTCTCCCCACAGGCCTCCTTCCCCACCTCCCTAGCATGGCAAACGCTTCCTTCCTTTTCTGTGTTCTGTGTGCTAGGTTTCTAGGGAGAGTCGGGGAAAAGAGGATTCTTTTGGGATGCCTCCAAGATCCAAACAAAATTAAACCGGTGAGGGGGACCTTGCTTTTCCCGAAGTATTTCTTGTCC